GCCCGGCGGGGGGTCCGAGGTGTTAAGGTTGGATCATCAAGAGTGTGAAATAAAAGATGATGATGGTTAAAGACACAAAGAGAAAATAGAGTGTCGTGTAAAGCTCCAGCTGCTCTGCCCAGAGCGGTTTATCTGGATTTAGGATTTCCTTCATCCATCAATGCCAATTACCAACTGCCCCGGTGTGAACAGCTCTCTGTCTTCTCCTCTACTTTTCTGTTTGCTCGGCTCGAGGGTCCATGACAGACAACAAAGGACATTAGAAGTTGTTCTTTCTCCTGACAATGACCTCACCATTATGCTGCAATCACAACAAGACATCTGAAGGTAAAAAAATAATTTGGCTTTGATTTTAGTCTTACAACAAGAAGCTTAATTAAATATCCTTAAGTGACCTTAACCTGAGAACTGTGGCCACGTCCGTCCAAATGTAAAGTGACGCCTCAATATATAACATTTACATAACAGCAGTGATGTTTGACATTCTTCTGATTCTTTGTCTAAGAGATGCATTTGAAACAGGACCCTCACACTGCTAAAGTGCCATTGAACGCAGCACTTAACCACCAGTGAAGCAGTGTCACACGGAGACACACTGTGCAGCTAAGTGTGAAACAACGCACGGCTGAGAGAAGAATTACTCACTCGACTTTTCACGGCTGAGTAAATGTGTTTTTTCTTTTTATATGTACTCAGAACCAAGATCTGCTGCAATAATTAGATTAAAATCATCCCATCCATCCTGACAGAGGACACAGCGGAGCGTCTCAGCAGTTGGAGAAGAGGATTGCATGTCAAAAAAAAACAGCCTTCAGGCTTCGTTTTGTGCTACTAGCAGACATAATCATCTCCGACTGAAGCCTGAAGGTGGACTTCACTCTGCTTCTTCCTCACCAGCAACCATCCTCGGAAAGAAACAGGAGAAGTGAGAGAAGTGGATGGTACCGAAATAGCCACAGGGAGCCAAAGGAAGACATGGATTTGATTCATGATGAGCATTGCTGTGAAATATTGCTGAACCCATTCGTGTTAAAGGACAAATTTTTAGATTTTGGGAAAAACGCGGATTCGCTTTCTTGACAAGAGGAAGAAGAGAAGCTTCACACCTCTCCTTGTAGGAGCTAGAGCTTCATATACAAGCTAGCTCACCTACAGCTAGCCTGGCTCCATCTAAAGCTAACAAAACCGCCTGCCAGCAACTCCAAAGCTCACCAGTTAACACATTATCTTCTTTGTGTCCTCTGTACTCAAAAAGTTTGTCTACACAACACATCTTAAGTTAAGCTAATCAGCAGCTGGCTTTAGATTCATATCAATCTTATTATCTATATCAGCAAGGAAGCAAATACGTACACAGAAAGGTCAAACCTTTCCTTTATATGATGCATTTCTGCCCTTTGGGAAAGATATTGTGAATCACTGGGAGCTTTCAACCAAATAACATCATGTTCACGCATCCCCTCCTGTGGTGAAGGTGATATCATGAACGAACTGCATGTGCTATGCATTTATTCAGCCTACTTTATGCCTCCTATTAATGACTGATATTCTTCTCCTCCGCCACTGGAAACTGAATATTGGCCACTTGATGTGACAGCAGTAAAGTGTGATTTATGTTGCAACGTTCTAATTGGCAGCATTTCCTCCGTCTCCAGGCTGCACTCGTCAGATATTTTGACGTATCTGAAAACCTTGGGAGATATATACTTGGCTTTAAACAGCGCTGGCTGGTCTCAGATCATTTATCTCTGTCGACCACGGAATAAGAAGCAGGCCTGCTTCTGTGGCTAACGGCAGTTCTCTTTGGAAATATCGATTTACGTACTTCAGCAGAACAATGTCTTGATGGCATTTTTTTACACTGTAGAAAAAACAATAAAAGGCTTTTTATACATGCAGGCGGTTTAGGCACAACTCGTATAACTTTACACCAAACTATATTTTTCCAGCCATTTGATCGTACAATCTAAATATACTAAGCTATAAAATGTTATGTATTGTAATATGATATAGAAATCATTTCTGGTAGTGTAGACATCGACTGGATTTGGTTGAGTGATGTTATTTATTTATTTGAGTAGATGAGCCGTTCATCTTGACACACGTTTTACAAACAACACAAGCAATAGACCGACATGAAAAAAGCACTGAAGCCCTTTGTTATTGATCGCGTTTTCAATCTAGCGCCCAGATTTCTATTTGTCCAATACTTTGTTTTATGACCAAATTCCTGCAGAACTAGCGACAATCGCATCAGCCTCACCTTTATTATTCACTCAGTGCTAATGAGCAAATGTTAGCAAGCTAACACACTAACATGTTGTAGAAACTCTACAAAATAACATTACAACTCAACTGCATTCTCAATTAGTTTAGAGCAAAATGTATTTTCTACCAGACGCACATCGTTAAAGTTGTAAATTAAAACAAAACTACTTCATGTTTTCTTAAAATATCACAGTTTGACTTCAAATAAGAACGTTTGTTACGTTATTTAAGTTACAGACATAAATGAATATAAGTCAACTTTGAATTTGTGGTTTCACATAAGACATGAACAGTGGTCTCCTTGCTGAAAGTCCTGTTTGTTTGACCCGTCTTCCTCCTTATGAGGACTTCCACGTCAAAGACAAACAACATCTATCATCGTTATTTGATGGCTTTATAATAATATTGATTGATGTAACTGTAAATTGCTGCGTTGTAAAAGTGCTGCAATGTATAAAGTTTGTAGCAAAATGTTAAAAACTGCGAAATGTGTCTCTTGTAAAATAACATTAAAATGATTTAAAGGTTCATTTTCCCACTGTTTATAGAATTGACTGTTTCACTCACTCACTCATAATGAATGACGACTCCCACCTGACTGACCTCCTGTAAACAGCGTCGCCGGTTAATTCCTCGTGAGCTGCAGCCCTCATCCGAATTATTCACAGTTCTGTCATTGCTATGTTATGCAAACACGCAGCACATGTCAGCTTCATAAATCTTCCTGCGATGTCTGGTGGAGGGAATTATCTTAACACGGCGGGAAAACAAGCAAAGCGTCTTAGCTGTTGAGGCACTATTGATTTGATTTGCCTCTTAAAAAAAGAAAGGGGGAAATTTATAGATGCACGTCGTCTTCTCCAGAGAGCGATATCCGTTCCCCTCAGGAGGGAGGGATGCTGTCTGACCGAGGCGTGAAGAATTGGGTCCAGGTCCAGCAGGACCGTGGGCCCCTTCGTGGATGTATAACATGTTATTAAAGCAGAGAAAGTTGTTACAGGACTGTTTCTCTTGAAGGTAACCCAAAGCTATCCAGTTCTGTGGTCGCAGGAAGAAAATGTATTTCTCTCAGTAGACTGAGCACCGAGACAGCTGACGACACTAAACCCCCCGACTCGGATTCCTCCTTCTCTCGCTTCAGAGTTGCTACTTCAGCTACTCTCATTTTCACAAACACCACAGTTTCACTCCAGGAACAGTTTGTTCTGTGTGTTCAGGCTTTTTCATGCTGCCATATGCAAACTATTGATTTGCTTTGGTGTTAGTTTTGGGAATGAGCTTCCCAGGGATCACTGTTTAATGTCAGCAGTATTGTTTTTCCTTGTAGTTTACATGAACACTAACTATGCAATGCTGCTGCAGAGATGTGAGTGGCATCCATTCCTGTTCAACAAGAAGAGGTGGAAGAAGATCTTTTACTTAAAGTCACTGTGAGGAACTTTTAACTAGTTATAACCAGTCTCAGTGTAGTCCTGATCCTCTATCAGACCTCCATCAGTAAAGAGACCATCAGAGAGAAGATGGTCTTATTCTTAATGCTCGTCATCGGAGCCACCGGTTCGGATTCTGGTGAAACCAGATGAACTCATGCAGGTTCACCAGAAACTCCTTCAGCTCAGACTCCAGCAGAGACCGGTCCACTGTGGACAGACCCAGATCCTCCAGCAGAGACCGGTCCACCGTGGACAGACCCAGATCCTCCAGCAGAGACCGGTCCACCGTGGACAGACGCAGATCCTCCAACAGAGACCGGTCCACCGTGGACAGACCCAGATCCTCCAACAGAGACCGGTCCACCGTGGACAGACCCAGATCCTCCAGCAGAGACCGGTCCACCGTGGACAGACCCAGATCCTCCAGCAGAGACCGGTCCACCGTGGACAGACGCAGATCCTCCAACAGAGACCGGTCCACCGTGGACAGACCCAGATCCGGCTTCACCCGCAGCCTTGAACCTGCAGTCAGAGCTCCGGAGGGAGGAGGAGAGCTCAGCTCCCAGCAGCAGCAGCGTCTCCTCCTCCTCCAGGACCAGAGATTCTCCTCTCTAGGAGCCAACAGCGACACCACGCAGCTGGAGACCCAGGACATATTGATAGACCCGCTGGAAATGAAGGGAGGCACGGGAGAACCAGAACCAGGACTGAGAGGGGCAGACTGTCAGACCCTGCTGCAGTAGAATGAGAGGGTTTCTAAAGAGACTCTGGTGCTCAGAGACACTACCACTTTAGTCCACAGGGAGCAACAGAATCAAGACTACATGAAAGTTCCTCGTTGTAGCTTTATGTAAAAGTAGCAGTACTACAGTGTGTAGTCCCAAAAGTAAAAGTAAAAATACTCAGTCCACCCTGCATAATGAGTGATTACCTTTGATACTTAAAAGATATTACTAGTTTTAATTTTAGCAATATTTGGAAAATAGGACTTTTACTGATAATCATACTTAATTATTTTATCATCACTCCTAAGCTGAACTCCTTGAATCTGTAGTTTACACTTTTACTTATGTCTTCTATTCTGTGTAGTACAGGTGTACTGGGACATTATCTGTACAGACGCATCACATGTATGTGAACTCATGCACATTTCCATGCATGGACAGATCCGTGTCCTGGCAGACCAGCTGATGCACCTGTGCAACACAAAGTTATTCTCAGCCACAATCGGCAGTGGACGCTGATAACGGTGTTCCACGGGTTCAATGTATTCTGTGCTTGGGTTGACAGACGGACAGACGGACGGAGGAGGTATAAGAGAGCTGAACTGTGTGTGTGTCTTCAGACTGTCACCATGATACTCACTCTGGCCCTCCTGCTGCTTCAGGTGGCGTATGGTGAGTATGAGGCTTAACCTGAGAAGTCAAAGTGACACAGACAATAAGATCAACTAATTTCAGTTTTAAAACTTCCTTCACTATTCTGTGTTTGTAGTGTTTGGATGTGGTGCACCTGCTGTCAAGCCTGATGTCAACAGGGTGGTGAATGGAGAGGATGCTCGCCCCCATAGCTGGCCTTGGCAGGTACTGTGAGCTTAATGTTTTTAATTCATAGCTAATACAGTTAACTATAGACCATTTTACAGTCGACGTCATGAATACATCACGGCGTTAGCTGGAGGCAAAACAAAGGAAAGACTGGAGGAAAACACAAATCACCTTCAGAGTAGTGGGCTAAAGTTACACATCGAAAATGTCATCTTGCGATGTTGTTGGGTAGAATCGAAATTGCATACATTTGGCATGATAAGCTGTGATTCAGGACTCCAGCGAGCTACAAGATCGGCACAGCGTTTCAGAGATGGAGAGAAATGTTGCTCATAATTTAGCTGAGCTTTCTGCAGACCCCCGCAGCTATCACGACTGCTGCAGCGCAGCAAGCTAAACTATTAGAGAGACGGAGAGAAAATGTTGCTAACAGGCTAA